ATTTACTACTAGGGAAATGAGGATTCAATGGGAGATTTGAACAGAGAAAGGAAATAATCAGATTCATTTTTAATGGATCACTGGCTGCTATATTGAGACAAAAGCAGGGAAAATGGGTAAGATACTCCTGCAATAATCCAAGCAAGAGATGAAGGAGACTTGGTCCAGGGTGGTAGCCTTACAGGGGGTGAAAAGTGTCCAGATTCTGCACATACCTTGCTGATGGGCCGGATAAAGTAGGAGTGAACAGAGGGGTTAAGGATGACTGAGGTTTTGGCTTTAGATCTTCACTGAGCTCTAATGACACCAAATCTACACCTCCAGTGCAGATTCCTGCCCTGAACCTCACATCTGTCTATACAGGTGGCTAATGCCAAGTCAACCATCTTCTCCCACAAAACATGCCTTTCTCTTTCCTCCAGTATTACCTTTCACTGGGAAGCAACTGGTTACGATTCACTAAGTGGCCCAAAGCCAGAGGACCTGGGAGTCATGCAGAGTCCATTCCCTAAAATGACGTAACACTCTTCCACTACTACAATGTTGTTTGTTCATTCACCAAAGAGGTAGTGAGTGCCTTCTGTGCACTAGATGCTGTTCTAGGCACCATTTTCTGGTCCTTTAACAGACTTTTAATGGTTCTGCCTATTTTCTGTCTCCCCCCATGAATGTATCCTCCACACTGCTTCCCAAATGATCTTCATAAAATACAGAAAAAATTAGGTAATTTCTTTGTTCAAAGACCTTCAATTGCTCCCTATTGCCTACAAGATAAAGTGCCATTCTCCTTAGTTGAGTATTCAAAACTCTTTCTGATGGAGAACAGCCTGTCTTTCTACCTTTACCCACCACTTCATACCCTCACAAACTCTCAGCCATCCACACTCCATCCATACTCCATTCAACCAGACCACTCACTATTGCCCACGTGGCTTCCCACATGTTCTTGCTTCTCTGCCTTTCCTTTTCAACTGGCTAGTATGGGGAACCGAACCCTCGACCGTGGTGTTACAAAGCTGTGCTCTATCCAACTGAGCTAACTGGCCAGCTCTATGCCTTTCTTTATGTTGTTCCCTCACCTTGGAATTCCCTTGCCTACTTTTCCCATATCCCAATGCTATTCATTCTTCAAGGCCCAGCCCAGATATCACCTTCTTCAAGAACCCTCCATAATCTAGCCCCCTCAGAGGTAAACTCCCTTCTCCATAGCCCCATAGCTCGTTGTCCCTTGTTCTGTCCTGTAGTGTCTCTTACCTTTTATTGTACCATTATGGGTGAGAGAAAGAACTGCTGTCTGAATCATAACTAGGTCCTCTAGGGCCTGACAGACAGACAAGGGACTGACATTAACATTCAATGGATTTCCCTTCTCCATAGCCCCATAGCTCGTTGTCCCTTGTTCTGTCCTGTAGTGTCTCTTACCTTGTATTGTACCATTATGGGTGAGAGAAAGAACTGCTGTCTGAATCATAACTAGGTCCTCTAGGGCCTGACAGACAGACAAAGGACTGACATTAACATTCAATGGATCGAACTGAATGATGTTGTCTAAAAGAAGTAGATGAATCTGTTAGGTTCTGGCACCATTTTTTTCTGGGCCTTTATAAATGGCATAGTTTTCCTCTAGATATTAAACAGGATGTGCAGAGAAAGGAGATGCCATGGCCCTGCCCTTGAGGAGCTTTTGGTCTACAGTGAGAAGTTGAAACACGACAGACACAGAAACAGGGCCATACCCAACGCTTCCAATAAGAAAACTGGGGTTGGGCAGGGGTAAGAAATAAAAAACAAAACTGACAAGAATCATGGGCATAGTCCACAGCATAGTTTAGTGTTGTGTTTATGATGTCAAAAGATGGGATACCATCCCAGCTGTTTCTCTTGACTCCTTCTCTTTCCTTCACTGGCCTCAGTTTTCTCTCTGTAAAATGGGGTGGCTAGATCCCTGAAAAAATAGTCTGTTCAGCTCTAAACCCCTGTAGTGTAGAAAATCCTTTTCCTACAAGTCTGTGTCTCCCTAAACCATTTGACACAACTGCTTCTCCAGCATCTCCCTTAAGAAGCTTTTCTACTTCCTTTCAGAATGATTATTTCTGACTCTGAGTCTTGGAAGGTATGTCTCTACAGGCTCCCAAAGGAAAACACTCATGTGGTTTTTGCCTTCTTGAAGTAAATACCACCTTAGGACAGCTACCCCATCTGTAAACTGGGAATAACACCAGATTGCAGGGATGTTGAGGAGGGTTAATTATACACAGAGTGTTTAAGGGTTGAGCAGATACACAAGTGCTCTGGAAGTTCTTGGCATAATACTATAGCATTACAATAATTCTGGCTTGCAAATTATACCCCAACAGAGCAATCAGATGGGAAGGAGGGTCTGGCCCCATGGCCTGATGAAAGTGAAATGGAAAAAATAAGTTGTGAAATATAACTTCTCTTCCTAAACCTTTGGAAAAGGCAGAGATAACTCTTCCATGTGCAAGCCACATGCAGGGAACAAGCTTCCAGATCTTGGAGAGGACTTTCTTTTCCCAGGTGGCCTGGCCTGTTGCCAGGATCTGGCAGTTCCTCCTTCCTGAGCCTAGAAGCAGAAATGGGAAGGAAGAGAGCTGGAGAGGATTTGTGGTTGGATGAAAAGTGGGGCTTATGATGAGGATGCCCTTACCTTTCAGGTTTTCTATTTGGGCCTCCCTACATGCAAGATAATTAAGTGCTTATGCATGAGAGGAGCAATTTAAAGGGTAATTTGAAATATTTAAGTCTAGGGATACCCAAAATAAACATCTTAGCTAGGTCAACTTCTGGGTCCTCTCCCCATTCCCCAGAAACATCAAACACATACACATACACAAAGACAGATTATTTCCTTGAAATGACAAGTAAATAGATCTCAAGCAATAAAGGAGCTGTATAGTTGGTGATGGTGTCTGTGACTGGGGGGACGGGAGGGTGGGAGAATCACATAGTGGGTTTGGAAAATTCAGCCGGTCATAAAGGATGACAGTCCTATCTGACCAAATAGGGAAAGGGCAAATAGCTTGATCTCCTGAAGGGACCACTTGCAGTCAATTCCACTGCATCCCCATGAGTGGTTGGGCAGACAGATCACGGGATTCAGAGTAAGACCCAAGGTGCAGTCCTGGTTCTGCCACTTCTCATGGCCTCCAACAGAGCCTGGTGGGTTACAAAGAGAGGAAGAGGATGCAGCTCTTAGGCCTTCCCTTTCCAAGAGTATCAGACTGAGAGCTACACCTCCATGTGGAAAAGAACCCATGGCCTTGTTGCCCTAACAGGTCCCACTTTTCCTGCATGATACAGGAAATAATATACTTCCCCAAGCCCATCTGTACTAGCCCAACTGTAATACACAGAAAGCAAATGGAGATTACTGATTTGGATTCTTGTTTTAGCAAATCAAGATTCTTAGAGAATTTCTTAGCTCTCCTATCCATACTTTAGGGTTAAACCACATTCTGGGGCTGGTCCAGACAAATTCGAAGTAGCACCTGGCCCTAGTAGCTGCTACCTCATTTTCAGGCAGCATTTCCTTCTCAACAGGGAGCATGCCGCCTCCCCTAGGTGCGGACCCCACAAAAAGCTACACTGAGCAAAGCGTGCCCCTCCTTTGGCCTCAGTTTCCTCCCTTTAGGCTAATAATCAAAGGATAATCTGAACCTGCAAAGAGGCTAGTGAAAATGACATCACAACCTTAGGCATTAAACGTTCCCACAACTCGCTCTGCCAGGTTGGCAGTGAACAGGGTTAAAGCCCCGACTTCCTCAGAGGTGAAAAGGTAAGCAAACATTCCGACCTCCCCTTAGCCTTGCTCTCCGATTGGTGCCCGGCCCGGCCCTACCGCCTATCCGGGCCGCATCCGTCATCTGGATTGCTAATACACTTATTAGCATAAAGATTTCTCCGAAGACCTGGCGGAAGGGGCTGAACCGGAGTCTCTGTTCCTTTAAAGAGAAAAGGGACAGACACTTTGTCTCTAACAACACTCGGCGCTGCATTTTCTTTGCACGAGCCACACTGTAAACTAGAAAGGTCCCGTGTTAATCCACCCCCGCCCCTCGCCCCGGACGGCGGGGATCCCTGGGGTGCACAGCGCGCGGGTCCCTGGGGATTGCGGATGGGTCTGGCCTCTGCGCGCCGCAGGCTCAGAATAGAGACAGGAGTTCAGGTGACACCAGCACATAGTCTCTAAAGCCCAGGACTGGATGAAATCACGCAGGGAGAGATTAGATGGAGAAGAAAGGAGGGACAAGGACAGGGTTCCCAGGTCCTACAACCTTCAGAGCTCCAACAGAGCAGAGGTCACCAGTGAAGGACACTGAGGTGGGAGGAAAAGTGGGGAGGGGGTGCGTTATGCAGATTTTACTCTGTTAAGCCACGGCAACAAGCAGTCCCCACATCTCAGTGCCTTACAAGAAAACAGGTGTGTTTGTCACTCACATGTGTGTTGGCTGCATTTTTCACATCTTCTTCCTTCCAGACCCAGATGGAAAGAAAAGTGCCTATCAGCACAGGCTGCAGTGGAGGGAAAAGGTCAGAGGCAGAACCATGCAAGGGCCCTGAAAGATCCTCCCGGCATGTGGCATCTGTCCCTTACACTCACTTGTTGTGACTAGACTGGGAGGTGTAATCCTCCCAGGGATAAGCAGTGAATTGTTGGAAACAACAATACAATGACTGCAAAGCACGTGGTGTTCAGGAAGCCCAGAGCACAGTCATTCACGACGTAGGACACAGTCAGCTCCATCATATGCTGTTGAGAGGTTGAGTAGGATGAAGACAGGGAAGTGACCATTGGGTTTGGAAATACAGAGGCCTTCTGTTTCATCAGTAAGTCTTTCTTCTAAGCTAGCAAGATTCACCTGTACTTTCTGCACTAGAAGCACATAGCAGCAATACTGTTGTCAGCCCGTCCCTGAAGAGCAATCTTACTACTTCGTATAACTTCGTATAATGTATGCTATACGAAGTTATTACGCCAGGCCGTGCCTCAGGCCGTCTCGGCTTCGTGCGGTCCGGCCGCCGGCTCCTGCTTCTCGGCCTCGTCTGGCTCCCTGCCCGACGACAGCGGCAGCACGAGCGACCTCATCCGCGCCTACCGCGCGCAGAAGGAGCGCGACTTCGAGGACCCCTACAACGGGCCCGGCTCGTCGCTGCGCAAACTGCGCGCCATGTGCCGCCTGGACTACTGCGGCGGCGGCGGGGAGCCGGGCGGGGGCCAGCGCGCCTTCTCCGCCTCGTCCGCGTCGGGCGCTGCGGGCTGCTGCTGCGCCTCCTCGGGCGCGGGCGCCGCCGCTTCCTCGTCGTCGTCCTCCGGCTCCCCGCACCTCTACCGCAGCAGCAGCGAGCGGCGGCCCGCCACGCCGGCCGAGGTGCGCTACATCTCCCCCAAGCACCGCCTCATCAAAGTGGAGAGTGCCGCCGCCGGCGGGGCCGGGGATCACCCGGGGGGCGCCTGCTCGAGCGGCCGCACCTGGAGCCCGACGGCCTGCGGAGGCAAGAAACTGCTCAACAAGTGCGCCGCCTCGGCTGCGGAGGAGAGCGGGGCCGGCAAGAAGGACAAGGTAAGGTGCTCCCTGGCCTCACCCCAAGGTTCCAGAACCACTGTGCGCACGGGGAAACCGAGGCACCTCTCCGGTTCTGAGTCCCTACATCAGCTTCTGCCTAGGACCCTGCGGTCCGGGTTTGCGCCCTGCTTCCCGTTTCTGCCTCCTCCTACGCGCTTTTCCCCAGCGGTTGGCCTCTTGACACCGGCTCTTTCGCTGCTGCTCCCAGAACGTCCCGTTTCTGAGCCCACAGCCCGAGCAAGAGCGCCCCGCCCAGCCTTGCCCAAGGAAGAGAGACCCAGCCAGACCTTCCGGCTCCCGAGGAGTGAAGTCAGAGTCAGAGCTGTCACGCACTTAAAAGAGCATTTACTATTGTCCTCCTCCCACCCACTCCCGCTCCCCCGCGTACACACTCTAGATGAGAAACTGAGGTCCAGAGCTGGGAAGGGACTCGCCCGACATTACACAGCACTCTTGGTGGCAGATCCGGACCGGCTGTCTCTAAACGTGTATATGGAAATCATTCTAAACGTCTCGCCCGGCCCTGTCCCGCCCCACCCCCTGTGCCAGGTTTCTAAATCCCAGCGGCCTTTTGTACTGGAGCTGCACCGGGAACCCCACGCGTGCTTTTCTGGTTGAAATGCTCTGCCTCCAAGAGCGCTCCACGCCGAACTCCTCAGTTCCTCCTGCTGCGCGCGCGAGAGGGGGTCCGCCTATCAGGCCGGGCTGGAAGGAGACCCACCCTCCTATCCTTCCTTCCTGGCTCCACCACCACCATACTGTCCCAGGGACGAGGGGGGACTTTGTGACAATCCCCTTCCTAACATATCAGGCCATCTTGATCCCCCCTTTGAAGTAGGAGAGTTAATTACAGCTAGACTTCGGTCTCCTCCCCTTTCACACTCCTGTGACGCCCTCCCTTCCCCCATAAAATAATACTTGTTCTGTCTACTTCTGGTGGAAGGCAATTTTGATTAAATCTGAGGCGCAGTGGGAGAGCTTGGTCCTTGGGGCAGTGCCCTGCGTGGCTGTCAGGCCGCTGCCTCTGTGTCTCCCCCCCCCCCCCCCCCCCCCCCCCCCCCCCCCCCCCCCCCCCCCCCCCCCCCCCCCCCCCCCCCCCCCCCCCCCCCCCCCCCCCCCCCCCCCCCCC